GCTTAGAGTTACCTTAGAGGTTTTTATTCCCCCTTCTGATAACAGGACATATTCTAAGAATTAAACAATTATTCCAAGGTTGGTTAACAGGTAGAAGGAATCTGTACTTTTTAATAAAGTCTTGTGGTTATTTGCCTATAGTCTAAGAACTTAAATTTGACCAGCTGATACTAAATCCTTTTCAATGTTATCAATAAAGGATAGTCTATGAGAGATGGAATCCAAATCCGTATATATGTATATATATAAATATATATACATTTACGTGCTTCTGAATATACCTTTATCTATTCAGCTAAAATTAATAAAAATCAGAGAATTTTATAGTAAATATTCTTAATTTAATTGTACACAATGCCTAATGCTTTGTGCTTTGGACTAAAGATCAGATTCTCAGTTGATAAATATTCATATTATTGGAGGTTTGATGTTATTGGGAAATGAGAAGCAGGCAGACTCAAAATCTCAAGAATTAGTAAATAGAATATATGAAGGAAGATTCAGTTTTCCAACAGTGTGTGTTTACACTTAACAACTGGTCCAAAGGTTGCTCTGAATGAATCTTCATGTGAGAGGCTCAGTCTCATGATGGCTTTAAGGCAATGAGCAAGTCACTGCTGTCAAAAAAAAGGACATTTTCGTTATGTCGAAAAACGAACTTTACAATTTTGGTGCGGGGGGGGGGGGGAAGGGAAGGGAGGATACGAATGGATGGGAAGGGGAAACAAAGCAAGAGGCTACAATGCTTGATAAGAAATGTGCTCATTATCTTACCCATGTAATTGTAACCCCTCTGTACAGTATTTTCACAGTAAAAATATATTAAAAAAAGATAAAATAAAAAAATAAAAAAGGACATTTTTATTTCACGGATTATGATTACAATGTGATCTTCCAGGCTGACATCTGTGACATTATAGTTTTGAAAAATGTGATATGGTTTAGAAATTTTACCTGAAAACTATAGGAATCCTTTTTATTTCCACATTGAATAACAATATAGCATGATAGTAGTAAAAGAACAACAACATATATTTCTACCTGTATCCAGTGACTATTGATACTACTCTTGCAGTAAAATTTTACTTGCAGTAACATTTATTGTAAACAAATTTATATTCATCACTCAGTTGAGTGTATACACATCTATTTTTCTGGTCCTCAATATGTCATTCCCTTTCTCATTTCAACGGATATAAGAACCTTAACATTTTCCCCCCACATTAGGGGGTTCTAGACTTAACAAGATTTCAGTTATGTGATTGGGAATGTTTCATTTTTTTCATTGTTCTTATATTTCTACTTCTTGTCTTAGCTGGTGAGAAGCTACTCATATGATCTAATAAGAAAAGAATGAGGAAATGCATCTGAAATAAAATACAATGAAGTGCTAAATGGAAATCTTCTGAGCCTTTACCGAAGTATGGAATTAAGCTCAACCAATTCTAGCCCTCTTCAATGAATTCAAGTTTGTCCAAAGAAATAACTAGTATCAAATAGTTATTATACAAACAATGTGTTTTTAGTATGGTTTGATAACAGCATTAATGGAGCTTTTTTATTTTAGAGATGTAGGGTTGATATTCACAAATGAAATTTGAGAGATAAAATTATTACAATTAAACAATTAAATTAATAAAACTACCAAAAATTTCAGGTTAAATTTTGAAAAGCTTCAGGGAATGGACATTAGGTGAAGTATACAACTTGGGTTACATTGGAGTGAACAAAGACTCAATACAGGTGAGGCAGCTAACAACCACCTCATTGACTACGCATAGGGGAAAACTGACATTAGAAGCCTGGTAGATTTCCTCCACCCTCTGTTATGGATTTGGTAACAGTTGACAAAAGACAAATGTGGCATGGAAGATCTGTCTCATCTTTGAAGAAATGAGACAATTTCTCACCAGAAGGAAGTCTAATTTGGGAATGGAGAATGTATTTGACATACAAGTCAAAGGCAGGTTATTGCCCTCTACAGACTTGTGGGATGAGGCACCAGGATCATAGGCCCATCTTTGCTACATCATGGACTGATAGCTAGCCTGGACTACGTAAGTGAACCCTGTGTCAGCAACCAAAACCAACCAACCAAAATCAAAACAAAACAAGACTGCATTTAGCATGTACAAATGATATTTGATATAGATATGCAGTATAAAATGATTGCCGTGACCAGATTAATCAGGATGCCCATAATCACATTTAGTTAGTACATGGGCATAGGTTGTGTGCATGTGTATGTAAGTACATGGATAGATACATAGCTTCTTAACCAGATACTTTTTATTTCACCTCAGGATGAAGACATCCTTGTTTAGAAAGGAAATCTGTGGGAAGCTGAAATAAAATTTCCATGGATCTTTACATGCTCCATACATGGTGAACATTAATAATAATATATTATACAACATATATGATCATTTCTCCATGCTTTCCTAATTAAAGTCTTATACAGGAGAGATCTTCCACACTGTGAACTTACAAACAACATCTGTGGATTCATGAAGACTTCCTTGGCAGATAGCTTGACCAGAGTTAGTTTTGGATCATAAAGCTTAATAATGTACAAATATCCCTTATTAAATTCATGATTATACAAAAATTAATGTTCCTTTATCTGTCTTTCATTAAGGTTTGTTCAGTTGATTGAGGCTGAACTTCATTCTACTTCTCGTGGCCCAGGTATGTTCTACACATTTATTTTCCAAGTGCAGAAAATCGCAGTGCTAATTTACTCTACCGATGATATCACATTCATGGATGATCATTTTGCAAGAGTACTGATAAAGCGAGGCATTACTAATACTAAACTACAAAGTACTTTAATTCTATACCACCCAGACATGTTTGAGTTTCTTGAGTGCCCATCAATGACAAGGAGTATGCCATGGAGAGGGATGTGAATAAGCAGTTGTCCATTGCTAAGAAATACGTTTAACATAGTGACTCTATGAGATAGTATTCTAACAACTATCTAGAGAATAAAGGTAGAAATATTTTTGTTTGGTTCACTATTACATAAATTATTTGTTTCAACATTCAAAACCATGAAGAATACAAGTAAAGTCCTTTCAGTCATCAAGCAAAAGCAAGTCTTCAACCCTGAAGGGCTGGCATTCAGTGTTGTGAGCTGCAGCCATGGATGCAATGTTCTTACTGTTTAGACTCTCTTAACAGTGCTGTGGAGAGTCTGTTTTCCTGATTTTTGGACATGTCCTTCCAATGCAGATAAACTCAGAAGAAATTCTGAGGACTTATAAATTTATGCAGTCACTGTGAGAAATGCAGGCACTCTTTGATACCATATACTTTATTGTCCTGAGAGAAATAGCAGTTTTACTACTTTGTTAGGGACAAAGGTACACAGTGCTGTGTATATTTCTCAAGAGTCCTGTAGCTTACAGTCTTCAAAGTAGAATTACTCTGGAGAAAAATTAACAATGGAACATATTATATATTGGAAAGTTTTCTAAATTTGTTTCAGTTTTTGCAGTACACATTGTATTGTTTATATGCCATTTGCCATTGAACTAGTATGCTCTCAGAAGATCGACTCATTGTACACTTATGTGTGCGGATATGCTGCGCACACTAAAACCTAACCAGAAGAAATTGTCAAAATGTACAACTATTTCATTAACCCAGAACCTTTCTCAATGGAACAGAATCTTAGAATATTTCCCCTTATATTTCTAGAAAAAAAAGTCTCAAAGAGACATAATAATGGATCCATTTGGGAAGAATTGACATAAGATTCACATTAAAATGGAACAAATTCCAGTATATAACGAAATACTGCACAGATAGCAAATCATGGACAAAAGTCCTGGGTTCTCAGGCAATGCTCATCACTAAATTACAACTTCTAATCCAGATCACCCATGGCTTAAAAAAAATCTTTCTAAGTTTAGTTTTGTGAATGCACTAATACGACATTGCATTTTTAAACATTCATTTCTCTAATTAATACTTGCATGCCCCTAATGCAAAATACAAGAATGGAAAGAGGCGGCACTGGTACTTTGAGATTTGTAGATGTGAGAACTCCAGTAATATACTTGCTTACATAAAAATAAGACCCAAATTTGAGGCTCATGGTGAAGGACATATACAACAGAAGGAAAGAGCCTTTGTCCACAGGAGTATCCTTGGAATGCATAATTGGTAACAGAATTATTTAAGTCCAGTGATCAGTAGTAGGTCACTGAATATAGGAAAGATATTTGGTTCAAACATTGAAGGAATCATGATTTTCCAGTCATGCATTTCAACAAATTGTGTTTATCCTGCTGATTGAGTCATGTTTTCCTTTATCCTCTAGATGGATTTGTTTTCATCCATTTTTTAACTTGTTTTGGAACCTTATATGAAAAGGGAAAACTGGTTACAGGTCCAAAGCCAAGTTTAGATTCTTTTAGAAGGGAATCAATAAGTTACAGTTGAAGGTAGGGGCTGGGACTAACTAAAGGTACCCTTGGTATATAGGTAAAGAAGTGGAATGTTAAGACTGAGGGGAACATACGGATGCAAGCTATCACTTTCTTTAAAACTTCCTTTTGTCTTTTTGCTATTCTACATATGGCTAAACTCCCAGTCTGAAATTCAAGACTCCTAGTTCTGTTTTCTGTAAGGAGTTAATATCAGAATGCACTAGCACAGACATGTCCTTTCCCAAATAATCATTCATACATCATCTACATATTCATTTCATTTGTATATCAAACAGCAATAAACTCATGGCACAATCTCATGCATTACATACATATGTCTGTGTACTATTTTAACTAAATAGAAAATGTGGCTGTGATGATATGAGAATGACCAGATTTGAGCAATAGGATAATCATGATAAAGAGTAGTTCCTTATGAAGGATATGCTGCTCACACATTTGTCCATCTGAGAAACCCAGGCATGCTATCACCTTGTTCATTACAGTTTTATTTACCATGGCCAAAGAAACTCAAAAGCCACTAACTTCAGTGGTCACTCCCAGCTATTTCTTGTTCCTGTCCCAGAAAAGCTTCCTGAACCACAATTTCTTCATGGCATTCTTGACTTCTGCATTCCGGAGAGTATAAATCATAGGATTTAACATAGGAGTGACAATAGTGTAAAACACAGCCACCATCTTATCATCTGAAAAGGTAACATCGGGGCGCATGTAGGTAAAAGTACAGGGAACAAAGAAGATGATGACCACAGCAATATGGGCGCCACAGGTAGAGAGAGCTTTGCGCCTACCTTCTGCTGACCTCTTCCTCAGAGACACCAGAATAACAGTGTAGGAGATCAGCAAGATGACGAAACTCCCCAGACTGATGGTACCACTGTTGGCTGTCACAACACCACTAATGATGTGTGTGTCTGTGCAGGCAAGTTTCAGCACAGGATGGATATCACAAAAGTAGTGATTGATCTCATTGGGTCCACAAAAGGGCAGTTGGACAATCAGAGACACTGGGATCATGGCATGCAAGAACGCACCCACCCAGGTGCCAAGCAAGATTTTATTACATCTCTCCTGGTCCATGATGGTCATATAGTGTAGCGGTTTACAGATTGCCACGTATCGGTCATAAGCCATGACAACAAGGATGAAGATCTCTGTGCATCCAAAGAAATGTACCCCAAAGAGTTGTAATATGCATCCTGCATAGGAGATTCTTTTTATCTTTGCTAAGAGATCAAAAACCAGCTTTGGTGCTGTAACTGATGAATAACAAATGTCCACAAATGACAGGCAATTGAGGAAGAAATACATGGGTGACTTCCAAAGATTTCCCATGTAAATTGTCAGCATGATAAGCAGGTTTCCTAGAAGAATGATTGTATAAAAGAAGGAGAATACCACTAGACACACTTCTGCAGCCACAGGGTCTTGAGTAAGGCCCCAGAAAATGATTTCTGTCACATTGTTTACCTTGTCCATGGAATGAGTGTAGAAGCCTTGATAACAATTAAATTACCTGCAAGATAAACACCGCAAAAACAATTGTCCTTTATTTTAGTTTTTGAGTATATGAATGGAATCCTATAAAATATGTATACACATATATGAATTAGGGAGAATGCAATTATGTCACTTGTAAGGGAAAGGATGGATCTGGAGGAATTCTGATTAAGACACATATCTAGACATTTCCTAAACTTTTCACTGATATATATATATATATATATATATATATATATATATATATATATATGTGTGTGTGTGTATATATATATAGCCCTATAGTTGTAGTTATCATGTAGATAAAAACCAATCCCCTAGAGTTCTATCTATAAAATTTACACATCCTATGCTATGTAACTCTTGTACTCTAACCTAGTCTTTTCACCAACATTGTGTTGATTTTTTCCAGGTTAGAAAAGCTACAGTTTTCTGTATATATTTTTTGTTATAAAAATACTGTACAGAGAAGTTATAGTTACATGAGTGAGGTAATGAGTACATTTCCTCTCCAGCATTGTTACCTCCTGCTTTGTTTTTCCCCTACCATCCCTACCATCCCCACTTCCCCAACTCTTCTCTCTTCTCCCATCCCCGCTCTCCACCCTCCCTGGGCCCTGAATTGTAAAGTTCATTTTCAACATAGTGTCTTGTACATCTCACTGTTACAATGGGTCAAACTGTATCCTTATTTCAGCATTTTGTTATTTCCTTTCCCCTCCCCAAATTAGAAAAATGTATATACAAGATGCAGGACACTGGAATCAAATACAGGGAAAACAGAGGGGAAGAATATATACAAGGGGGAGAGGGGGAAAAACATACAAAAGAAACAAAAAAATCACATGGTACATTATAAATACATTAAAAACAACAGCAAGAAAGATAAAACCACTTGTGTCCCTATCTTGGGGTTTATTTCGCTTAGCATCATCGTATATGATTACATGTGCATAGCTTTTGACCTTTTCTGCTTGTCCTAGACATACAGTAGTTATTGCAAATAAGGGAAACCATGGGACCTAAAAATAACTGTAAAACATTTGGGGGCACTAAAAAGTCCCTATAATTCAGAATTCTATGTACTACTTTACCCTATTTTTTAAAAGGTTTTTCTCATATAAACTACTTCAAAGAGTTGTTTTTGTTAATTACCCAACACAAATAAAATGTGATCTAAATCTTAAAAAAAAAGCTACAGCTTTCATCTTATCTCTAAGTTACAATGCTCAGAATAGCCATTATGTGTACTTTTCTCATGTCTTAAAAGAAATAATGACAGCAATAATAATGGTCATTGTTTCAACAACAGTAATATAAACATTCAGAAGCTGACATACTGGAAGTGGAGTTGTGGCTCAAGTAAAGAGTGCTAGCTTTGAGTTGAAGAGCTTGGGGACAGCACCCAGGCCCAGAGATTGAGCCCCAAGACCGACAAAACAAACAAACAAAAAATACAAACAAACCAGAATCTGACTTATGCTCTTTCTTTTATATGCCCCTTCCCCTTTTACTTCTGACAACAGAAAATACTGAAAATGCCCTTCAGTTTAAGAGCACTCCTTTCATAACAGTATTGAATAAGTGTGAATTTTGTTGCCAACTCCATTTTAGAATAAGTTGATACCTACTCATGAGCCCAGGATCTGTTGCTCAAGTATCCAGACAACAAATATGAAGCAGAATGCTCTTAACTCTCCTATCAAAGACATACTTCTTGGCTTTTCTGGTCATTTGCACATTATGATGTCTCACTTGCTTTGGAAATTCACAGTTGTTCTAACCTAGCTCATGGTTACAAATAGCTACACTTCATTATTTTATTATAATCTTAATTTCATTGTTCTGTACCTTTTTAGTGTCTTATAGATGTTTAAGATATAGCAGTCAAGTGATTTTCCTGTTCCACCAAACATCCTATATTCATTATAGAAGAGAATAATCTCACTAGTGTTTTCAAGGCTTGAGTCTTGTTTTAGTCTCCTGACTTCTTAAGATAAGCTGACTGCATCCATCCACAGCAAAGTGTAATATGAGCTCCAGGAAATGCCTGATTCCTAAATTCAAAGACTAATAAACATAGTGTTCTTTTTTCTCTGGCTCACTGATGGGTGAAATCTGCCATTTCCCATCAGTAGTTTTGGCAATAAATGTTCTTAGCTCTACTTATAAGGACTTATTTCAGAGGTATGATGCAATACCATAATGACCTTAGGGAAAGACTACTCAGTCTTCTAGATTAATAATAACCAAATCACATAGCTATCAATGAGATTTAATCTACATTTCAGTTATTTTTAAGTAAAAATGATGTGATTTCTTTGAAACTCAAGTGACTCTACAGTTTAGGACCATGACCCTAACTCACAGCAATTCAGTGAACAATTTCTTTAATTAATGTCCTTCTACTTATATATTGTATAGAATTTGTAACAGTTCAAATTCTCTCTATTCTAGTGAGAATATGTCTGATCTGTGGTATCTTATTCTATGGATTTATTCTTGTCTTCCAGCCATATTGTACACTTTTGTGGCAAGGTGGCAGGAATAACTTTGGTTAGAATCATCACTGATGAAAAAAATGGTAACCATTTTCCCTTTAAAGTTGAACAAAATAGTTTAATACTAGCAAGTTTTCCCCGATCTTCTTAGAAATGGTTACTCTTCTTACTCTGGGACAATATAAACTAACATAAATGAATCTATATGAAAGTATCATCACATGCCATATGTATTCTGTGTTCCATGTACACCATGAATTCTATTTTCATGAACTCAAAACACTGAAGCATTAATCACATGTCTCACTATAATTACAGGATTTTGTGGTTTAGAAGTGAAAATTTTCTAGTTCTTTTCTTTATAATTTTCTTTTATTGCCAGTACTGTGTTTTTGTTTGAATGCCTTATTCTTGGTCCACTTGCTTATTTTGTTGTTTGCTTGTTGTTGTTTGGTTTGTTTGAAGATAATGTCTTTCAGACTTTTGTACCCAGGCTGGCCTCAAACGGCAGTTCTCAAAATGGCAGCTTCCTAAATAGCTAAGATTACAGGTGAGTGCCACCAGTGCCCATGATGTGTCTAGTTGTTTTATACTGAAGTGTTGTGGGACAATGTTATCTTAAACATACCTGTCTTCACCATGAAGTCTGAAAGTAAGTTCACCTAAAACATAGCCTAGATCACTAAATCCCCAGTATAACTTAAGACACATAAAAGAAAATTATGCTTTATTGTATCAAATATGAGCATTTGAAAGTAACATTGAGCTCAGTCAAGGGCATATCCCTGTATTCTAAATCTAAATCTATATGTTGATCTATATATCGTTGTCTAACAGTATAACACTATAACACACTATCACAAGAAGTATTGTAAGTGACAAAACTCATATATTTTATATTATTGTATACAATATTTGAAATCAGTACTGTAATAGGGCTCATAAAACTTCACCATCTTAGAGTTTACCCTTAGCTTCTATAACTTCATTTTGTTTTTGTAACTCCATCTTAGAGGCCCATTTGTAGGACTAGTTTCTCATAACCTAACATTTAAAGATATATGTAGCTTTTGTTCCTTTCTGTTTCTAGATAGCAACCACACTAACAAATTATAAAAATGGTCATGGTAGTAGTTACGGAAATGCCATGGTATCTGTCTGGTTGCCCCATTTAGGATTTCTTGCAACATTGTTCTAGTTACTCATGCTTGCTTGCAATATTGTTTTAGCTTCTGTAACTTCATGCTTGGCTTGCAGCTGCAGAAAAGAACTGCTATTTACTTTCCTCCCATGAGCGAATAAAGGATGGTGGATTTTCTGCCTTAAAAGGGGACATGAGAGCAACCTGGGCACTGTACTTTTTTGGGCATTTGATTGTCCAATGTAGTCCTGGCAGCCAATAAAGACTTTCTTTTGGCTGTATACTCTGTGTCTGTGTGGTCTTCCCTGCTGGTCTTCCCTACAACAGTACTATTGAAAAATAGAAAATTGGGCTAGCATTTCTTCTTACACTCAATGTGTTGTGATAAGAACAGAAACATCCCTTCATAAGCAATTTCAAGAATAGGGTATGCTGCTGCTACTAACTATAATGCCATGTGGTGGTCTGAATAGATTTCCTGAGCTTATCTCTTCTAACAGAACCTGATGAACCACATCATGATTTTTGCTTCAGGTTTTTGAAAAACTTCCTGTATTCTATAAGGTACTGATTTTATTTACTGAAGTTATTTCCTAATTTATATGTATTAGTTTAGATTCCCCAACAAGAACATGCAAATGTTCTGATTTTCCCATTCTCCTTAATTTTCTTTTCCTTTCTTCCTCTCCTGCTTCCTCCCCTTCCTTTCCTTCTTCCTTCTTTCTTTCTTTGCCAAATAATAATTATCTAGATATATTGTTCATAGTCTTTATTTTTTATTTTTTTTTCTGTTGGTCGTGGGGCTTGAATTCTGGGCCTGGGCGCTGTCCCTCAGCTCTTCAGCTCAAGGCTAGTGCTCTACCACTTGAGCCACAGTGCCCCTCTGGCTTTTTCTGCTTAGCTGGTGCTGAGGAATCCAACCCAGGACCTCATGCATGCAAGGCAAGCACTCGACCACTGAGTCACCTTCCAAGCCCAAATTCTTTTCATTATTTTTAAGTAGTTGAACACAGGGCTTCAATTAAACTTGTCAGTTTATGTGTCCAAAGAATCTTGATCAATGACACCCCTTTTATTGTTCTCCCCATACCCAACCACACCATACCCTTAGGTACCAGGTTCCATTTTCACATATGGATGTTGAATATTATAATTTATTTGCCTATTTTATTTTTTCAGTATTTGTGACAGCATCACAGTTTTCTTTGTTACTCTGGCTTGGTAGTATATGTGTAAATCATATATTGCCATACTCTTACATGCTCTTTTTCCTCAAGGTTGTTTTGACTCTGTTGGCTCTTTATTTCTTCCATATACATTTTGAGATTCACTTATCAGTG